TACCTACTACTACTACACTATATATATATATATATATATATATATATATATATATATATATATATATACTTCCTGTTAACTTAAGAACTAACTGGAATATATGAGCCCAAGGCCCAAATTGAATCTGGACCGATCTGAAGATCATATCAGCCCATGAGCAGACAGCTACAATATCAATCTGGGTCCAAACCAATGGTCAAGACCTCATTTCGTATTTGAATTTTTATTTTTTATACAAATCCAAATCACTTGAAATTTTGAGCATATATTATTAAAAAATATTAGATTATAATAACAATATTAAAAATAATAATTCGAAAAATATAAATTGATCAAAATACCCCCAAAAATTTTTGGGGGTATTTTGGTCAATTTATATTTTGTGAATTATTTTTTTTATATTTTTATTAGGTGCGCCTTAATGAGTAAAATGTACTCCTAAATTTTTAAGTGATTTGAATTTGTACAAAAAAAATGAAAATTCAAATACGAAATAAAGTCGTGACTATCAGATCGGCCCAGATTCAATCTAGGTCATGGGCCGACACTGTAGCAGTCAGCCCGTGGGTTGACAACATCCATTCCATATATATATATATATATATATAGGGACAAATATATATATGTCTGCGTTTACTTATAGGTAAAAAGTTTATATAAGGTTGCAACCTTAAAATGTAGAATTACATATGCACCTAAAAACTCCATTAGAAAATGTTGTTTTAATGATGAAAATCCCTCTAATTGGTCATCTCGACATCGAGATATATGAATAGGAAAAAATAAATTTTTTGAGTCCCAAAACTAGTACATCTTGCAACACATTATCTAGACCGTTCATTTTCAAGATTTTCATATGTTTATAGATCTGCTTCATTTTAACAATTTTTGGAGTTTAAAATTTTATAATTAGATATGAAAATAGATTTCAAGATAATCCTAAGAATTTTTTACACCAAAATTATGTGTTCTGATAAAATTTAAAGGTGCACCTTAACTGGATTGTTTAAGGTTTTAACCTTATAAAAACCACACCCTTTAATTATATATGTACGAATGCACAAATGTTCTATTTGTGCATATATGCATGGATATGTGAACTGTATCCTAGGGACAAATGGATGTGATCAAATATTTCAAGAATCTAAACAGAATGGAACTGATGTTTCTACTATTAGTTAGGGGGCCTCTACATTTATTAGGTGCAATCCTTCAAACTCTATATTATTATTATTAGATCCAGCTAACTGAAGAATTCAAGCATTCGTGATTGTTTAAGAGATACTTTTTGTTTTCCTTTTTGATAGATCACAATTAATATTCATGTCTTCTGAGAAAGAAACTTGAACCTACTCTGTATATGTATATGCTACTAATGAGTCACAGAGTATAATTAAACAAACTTTTTCTTTCCTTTCTCTTCTGTTTCTCTTTTATCAATAGGCATAAGATTCCGACCAAGAAATAGGAATTTTAGTGAGAGATCCATAGCACTATGCTAAATACAATATTACCTGAAATTTGAAGCACAATTCAAATGTGCCAATACCAGAAGGAAAAGAACTTCAGAAAGAAAAAGAAGCAAAAAGAAATCACTTCTGAACTATTTTCTTTTACACATACATAGGCATAATATTATGATAAATACGATCAGACTAATATAGCTTTTGAATTGAAAAAGGAACTTGAACCTTGCGCATGATATATCAAGTATGCCAGCTAAAGAATTTATAGAAGTGCTCTTAAAACAAGAAAACTACCTCAAAAAAAAAGAGAAGGAAATGAAAAAGACACAAGAAGAATTCCAAGTAGTGAAAACTGAAGCAAAGAAGATAACAAAACACGAATAAACAAAAAACATATAAAAGAACCATGAAAAATAGCCAGAAAAGGAACAGAACCACTATACAAGAGAAAAAGAGAGTAAAAAACTCTGCAGCACTTGAAATTGGAGAGAGATGTAAAAGAACCACGAAAAACAGCCAGAAGAGAAAATAATTATATAAAAAAAGGGAACAAGAAAGTAAAAGACAGCAATTGAAATGAGAGAGAGTGGGGGTAAAGCTACCTACATAAAAAAATTGTCTCTCTTCTAAACCAAATAATTAATCTTCTATAATTACTCATTCTCCATTAATTTTCTTCATTGAAAGCGGCTTCAGAAAGTTACACACGAATTCAAATCCCTAACATCTTTTAGGAAAGTTACACAGGAATTCAAATCTCTAACATCTTTTACGCTAGAAATTATTGCCAGAAATTCAAGAATTCATTAAAATCACTTCAAATCCAAGCCTTCCTTCTCCCACAGAAAAATACAGTACGCTAAAAACTAACTGCTTAAATAGAAATCCACAGAAAAATACATGGAAGCTAAAAACTAACAAATTAAATAAAAAGTACAGGGACATTAAAGCTAACCAGTTACGTTGACCTCCCTCTTTGAAATCAGCATCAATACTCCGTTTCTTTTCCTCTCCAAGCTTTGTAAGAAGTGAGGAAGTGAAGAAGAAAACCAGTAAAAGAGCCCCAAATCTTCAAAGAAAGAGAGAGCAACAGTGTCAAAAAAAAAGAAAAAGATAAAAACAAAGAGGAAAAAGTAACGAATGGCACCTGTAACTAGTTGCTAGGTGTATAGACATCACAATGAACCCTATGATTGCCGCGGAGCAGTCGAGAGACTTGCGTCTCAAAGCTCTAATGGCGATTGCAGCTGATAACATCACAGACACAAAAACTCTCAAACCTAATGGCGTCATCTCTCTCATTCAATAGCTTCACATGTGCAAAGATTATTGAAGTCTCTTAGCTCTTTCTTTCTCCTCTTTCTCACTCTTATCCTCTCACGCCAAACTTCCTGGCTCTTCTTTCTCTCTGGCTCTTCTTTCTCTCTTACAATCTTCTTGCAGAGAACTCTGATATTTACAGTTTCTTTTCCTCAATATTCGGCCTCTTTCTCAATCCTCTTCGGCCTCTTTCTCAATCCTCTCCATCTCAACTCTCTCTCTACTTTCTCTCTCTTACACAGTATTATGCACTGCTGGTTTGAGACCCGTTCTGGTTTTAAAAATGCAACGACGCCAGATTCGAGCAATATTGAAATGGCCAAAAAGACCGGGGTAAGGTTTCCATACGGATGCGTCCTTACCCGTAGCGGTCAAGTTGAAGCAACCCTTACCAACAAATATTTCTTATGAGATTGTCTAATAATATTTAACCATCCAAATATTTCTTCTAAGATTGTCTAATAATATTTTTTTTAAGTACCCTTTAAATCCCCACCTCATAAATGTCTATTTTAATTTTATTTATTTATTTATTTTTAATATATTTTGAATCACAAAATCAAGTCGATCCGGACTCAATCCAGCGTTCCAACACGGATCTAAAAGTCAACAATCCGCCCCATCTATCAATCCAACGATCTAATACGGATCTAAAGGTCAATAATCCGCCCCACCTATCCAGGTCTTGAAATGCTTAGGAATGGAGCTCGAATTGTAGTGGTAGTACTACCTGAACCCCACTTAAAGATCTTGAGTTCCATTCTCACGAACAAATTAAATAAAATTGATTATTTTCAAAAATGGATAATGACTCGCCATCCCTGCTTACTTAACCAAAAAACAATTTCTTGAAACACTATAAAACCTTTATGAGGATACACTTCAATGTTATCAAATTCGCAACGGCGCAGCCTCATATGCCAAAGCCTTCGAATTTTAAGCATAAACCGAAAAAAAGCGAAGCGTAGTGTTGTCGCTTCCTCCAATGTTATCAAATTCACAACGGTGCTCTCTCAGAGGCCAAAGCTTTCGAATTTTAGGCATAAAACCGCTTCGATCAGATTCGGACTGCTTCGGTCAAATTCAAATATGCTTCAGGCCTACTTCGGGTATGCATTGGCCAATAAATAAATAGTTATATAAATGTATTTCTTTTATTTTTTATTTAAATTTTTTCTATTATGTGTATTTAGTTTATATATAAATATCTAATTTATTTATACTAAATTAAAAAAAAAATTCCGAAATCTTCTCTCAAATCGTCTGAATATCGAATTGCTTCATTTTTCTCACCAAACCAAAAAACAATCTCAAGCCAATATCACACATTGATATACTCCTTTTTATAAAGTATTTTTATGCCCCTAGTGCAAATCACCTTTTGTTGATCTATAGTAGAAAGGCAATATTCTGTGGAGCTTGAACGGCCTGTGAAAATAAATAAAGGTGTTAGACTTTCTTAGTTTTAAGGGCTTAAAAGTTATGATAAAGGGCAAAGTAGATATTCTCTCTCTCCTCTCTGTAATCACATTCGACTATAGTTGAGGCCCCGATTGGGAACCGCACCCTTGAGAAATACAGTAATAAAGTTCTTTTTAGCTATTCCTAAATGATTAGTCTTTCTGCTTGGCACGCTACCCTTTAATGTTCTAATAAATGGGAATGCAACCATGTTCACAAGAAAAAAAAAAAATGTCAATAATAGAGTTTTGTTGGTAGTGTCAGAGAGAAAATTAAAATTAGTTTACTATTACGCGGAAAAAGTGGTATCGTTATATGTCACTAAAAATGTTCAAAATTCTATGTTTTCATTGTTGTTAGAAATAAGACTTTGATAGGTAAAGATAGGGGTCACAATGGACCTGGACCCAACCCAGGACCTTAAGGATAGACATGACCAATTGCCGGGCCTGGGTACAAAAATTGGACTCGGCAAGTAGGGTCTAGGTCCAAATTTTGGATCGGAACATTATTTGGGTTCGGGTTAGGGAAAAAGTAGTTAATTATATTTAAATGCATATCATCACCATCATCATAGTTTTTTTTCAATTATTGAGGTTGATTACACGCATCTTAGTCCATTATTTTGATCTTTAGGGTCATATCCTCAATGTGTGTGAGAGAGACAGAGATATAGAGAGAGAGAGAGAGAGAGAAATGTTGGGATTAGCCCACTAGCTCATATGAACATATAAGGCCAATGGCCCAAATTGAATCAAGGCCGATCTGACGGTCAAGACCTCATTTGTATTTAAATTTTAATATTTTTTCTACACATCCAAATAACTTGAAAATTTATGCATGTGTTCTTAAAAAATAGGAGAATTTAATAAAAATAATTTGCAAGAAATAAATTGATCAAAATACCCATGAAATGTTTTGGAGGTATTTTGGTCAATTTATATTTTTCTAATTATTTTTTAATTATTTTTATTAGGTGAACCTTGATGAGAAGAATGGATGCCTAAACTTTTAAATTATTTGGATTTGTAGAAAATAATTTAATTTCAAATGCAAAATGAGGTTGTGACTGTCAAATCGACCCAGATTCAATTTAAGTCATTGGATTCATATGTTCATATGAGCTAGTGGGTTAATCCCAGCATT